GACAGTCATGAAATGTAAAGTGGGTGCACCACGCGTTTTCAGTTGAAGCCATGGCGCTTCACAATCATGAGAGGAACCAATTTTGCGTTCTGACGCAATGATGCCCTTCTTAACAAACAGTTATTCTCCTCACCTCCTATGTATCCGGTCCCGACGAAAAAGTCGTAGTCACAGCTGCATCAATAAGCAAAAGCGATCACGTGGAACTTAGAACTCAAATATTCCAATTGAGCATATGCATAGCCTATACAAGGCTCGTTTATTATTATTACTTTTTTTAAAAACAAGAAAAAAGATAAGAGGCGGCGAGAACACAATCGAAGGCGGCTCCAAAAGTCGTATAAATCTCTTGCACCGTAACAGTTTGAATCATTCTGTAAATCAAACCTGAAGGGGTTACTGGAGTCTGTGTTGTAGTTGGAAGAGGTCTTGAGGGAGTCTTTGCACGTGTATCTACAACATCACAAGATAAGTATATAAGTTATATGACAAAAGTGATGGAAACAGATAGGCACTCCAAATGAAACTTCTACATATGTGTTGTGGCCAGAGAAGTCAAATGACCTTAAGGATTGCAATGAGCTCACACAAAGCTATAAATCTGCCAGATGGCTTCCTACACCCAGTTCCTTATACGGTTGCTGAACAGATACCAGCAAAAGAACCCTTATAACATTTTGAAATTCCTCATAAAAAGGCGATGAAAAATCCACTTATTGTATTCAACTCGGATCCGAATCATGGCCAACACTTTAACTGCCAACAGGATCAGCCAGTAGGTTTGTCACAGGTCCAAGGCTCAGCGCCCTATACAGGAAGACAACCGGTCACTTTCTAATAAGTCCACGCGCTTAGTGGCCAACATGACTCCTCCGACGGACATGGTGTGGCAGTTGCCCTCTCGCGACAAACTAGCCGTGCACTACTTGTCTGGGAACCAGTCAATGAACGCGTGGCTTACGTGCGCTTGAAGGGTCACGTCACAAACATATCTGTCGTCGCCGTGTATGCACCAACATCAGCTACTGGCCAGCGCGATAAAGGGATGTTTTATTCGCAGCTACAAACTTTGGTTGAAAGACTCCCTCGCCGCGATCTGTTGATTGATGCTGGAGACTGGAATGACCGGGCCGGGCCTTGTGACTCCACAAACAGCCATCTTATCGGCCGCTTTGAGCTTGGTTCTCAATGTGAGAATGATGAAAGATTGCTGAACGGAACCGACTGTTTGTTGCGAACACGTGCTTCCAGCACCCCAACAAACACCTGCTAACCTGGTGCTCCAACGACGGCCATACGACCAGTCAGGCTGACAACATTTTAGTCAATTCAAGATTCCGCAGCTGGGTTCATGATAGTGGATTGGTGCGTGGTGCTGAGACTGGTAATGTCCATGGGTTTGACCACGTCCTTGTTCGCACACGCTTGAAAGCTCACCTCTCATCTACGTCCAAAATGCCACAAGTCAGACGCCTCGATGTCACCAAAATTCGGCAATTCAACACTACTGAGACCCTGAACAGAGAAATCTGGTCCTGTTTCACGACCCGAGCCGACAGAGAAGAGATTAATCCATGGTCCTCACTGAAAAGTCAGTCTGTGGGGCAGCCGATAAAATTCTTGGATACACCCAGCGACGCCACAATGATTCGATCAGCGGACGAACCCTGCGGTTGTCTGCTGAGACAGCCCTAGTTAGGGGCCGTAATGATGATTCTTTCTACCAACTAAGAAAGACAACAGCAAAATCGGCCAGAGAGGACCGAAAGAAATACTGGTTTGAAATAGCAACCTCGATGGAGCAGGCCTCGAACGTCGGTGATAATCGGAAGCTCTACGAACTTATTATCCAAGCTAGTTGTAAGCTATCTTCACTAAGTGACTCAGTTTTTGACGTGAATGGCGGCTTTATTGCTGGCAACGCGACCAAGGTCGAGCGCTAACGTGAGCGCTTCGAGCACCTCCTCAACTTTGATATGGAGTCCAGCAGCTCCTGGTCTGGTGTTCGACAAGGTGGTGTCCTGTCGCCCATCCTACTTAGCTACGCCAGTGATTGGGTTCTCGGGAAGGCCCTACAGGAAAATGACGGTATTGAGCTTGCATCCCGACGCCAGTTGTTTGATCTCGACTATGCCAATGATATCGCTTTACTAGCTTCAAGCTTTAGCGATCTACAGCCTATGGTGTAATAGGTAAACGAGCTCGAGAAATCGGATGGTTTGTCCATACACGCTGGGAAGAACAAAGTGTTTTTATGTTGCATCTCTGCCCAAGATAAGGCACCTCTCAAGATTAGTGGCTGTCAACTTGAAGAAGCAGACAGTTTCAAATACCTCGGAGCGAGATTGCTGCCGAATGGACAGAGTAAGAATGACATTGTTTCCCGAATTCACGCAGCTCGACGAGTTTTATCCAGCCTTCGAAAGTACCTATGGACCCGAGGCGATATATCTATCTCCACAAAGGTCCGCTTGTACCGTGGATCTGTAAGGTATGTTCTTCTGCACGGATGCGAATGCTGGGCTATGCGTGTGGAAGACGAACGAAAACTGGAGGTCTTTGACCACAACTGTTTGAGGACCATCCTTCGAGTGCAGTACACCGACTTCGTCTTAAATGAGACAGTCCGAGCTCGAAACGAAAACGTCGCCAAGATATCCCAGGCAACCCAAGAAATACGACTGAGTTGGTTTGGGCGCGTTCTTCGTCATCCACCTCACGAACTCAGTGTTA